ATGAAGAAAATTTGAATATATAACAACTGGTGTATTGTTAACCATAGCACCATGACAATACATTGATATCATACATACCATTAGTAAATACATATACATGTAGGGTAGGTACATAGGCTAGATACTGACAGTAAAATTATATTAAATGAATTTAAAATTGCATGCCTGACTGTTTAACCGTATCTTGACTACATGCAATTGTTATCTTTATGAAGTGAAATAAATTTTGTTTTATGGCAACTTGAGATAAACACTTGAGAACATATGAGTGTTATAACACACTATTGCACATGTATCAGAATGTTCAGTAACCAAGGACAAATAATTTGCAGTAAAATTCCAGACAATTTATGTACAGTAATTATATATGGGTGCCATCCAATTTTCGTTATGTCATGCAGTTCACAAGTGTCTGTGTATCAGGTCAGAATGACATAAGTGGGTATATAAAAGCATATTATTTGCATGCATAATTGTTCTCCTTTCATTTCACAGACATTCAACAAATCACAAATTTTAATGCTTGCCTGGAATGATTGATAATGTGCTCAGAATGTGGGACTGCACACACTTGAATTATAAATACTCAATGTACAATGATAAAAGTAAATGAAACAATCTGTTACCAAGAATTGATATGTTAAACTGAATTAAGCATGATAAATTTGTACCTTACAGTCCTTAAACGTGATTTACAACTTAAGAAGTTATACGGTACTCATTTACAATTGTCTGTCTGTACAGTACCATTCTCAGTATAGCTATGTGGAACGCTTCACGTAAAAGTTAATTTAAGTCATTTTCACTACCTACATGTACATGTAAATTAACCAAACCCTACTCAATCCCAGGCCGAGACGACTTTTTTCCGAAGGACCAGTTCTGTTCTTGACTGAGTATGTTTTAACCTGTTTACACATTTCTGAATGTTTTAGTCCCATTATTTCAATTTGACAGTACTTTTGAGCATTTACAAGACTACTTTTCCTAATTTTTATACAAATAGGCTTTCTTATCATTACTACAGTATTGATATTTTATTGGTTAAAATTTTCTATTATAATATGGTAACATCTGGTCCTTACACATAGAAACACTTGCACTCGGGAATTGATGAATGACATAATTTTAAAGCAATATTGATAATCTACATGTATATTTGTATAAATATTTGGGTACATACATCTAGGTAGACAACTAGACACATCAGCATTTCCACCTACTCTCTATCAAATTCAAACTGTCAAGGGTTCTCAAAAGTGTACACACACATTGTCTCTGTTTTTCATCTCTTGTCAGACTCTTCATCCTACACCACTGGCAAAGGGAAACCATGCTTAAAAATCTTGAACTGTCTCGTGCCAACACCACGATCAACCCCAATACTTGGTTAGTAAGACAGTTTCTTACTCAATGAGCCAGGATGGCTCCCTGGTCATTGTTGGGCTTGATTATGATCAGATGATTTTTTGCTAACTAATCATTGGTGAAGAATCAAATGAAAAGTGAACATCTATACATTTACACGTAAGTCACAAAACCATGCATTGCACTTCATGTACATGTAACTGCACATTTGCTATTTTACATTTGTGGAGAACACAATTGAACACAATTAGAGCTGTCATCACCAATACAGGGATTTAATAAACTAGGTACTATGTGGCTAAATTTATGGTGTTCCTCCACCAGGCGTTATTGTTTTATCTCACACATGTTGGACTACATGTAATAATCTCTTCACTGTTATTACAAGAGATGGATATACATGTATCTTTGTTCCTTTGAGACACAAATGACATGTTACCATGCCCAGATGTCAAAGTTAATATCTTCATTTGAGGTATAGTTAAGGACAAGAAGCTTAGGATCTCATTTGTAAATGATGCACTCAATTTTCAATCAAATGACACACTTGCAGTAACTCCATTAATGCTCGACAAAAGGAAAATTCTCTAGTGTATGGAAGGGGTTAGCATACAAGAAAAGTTAATTACAGTTTATTCCTAAACACTAAGGATTTCATTAATATTAAAATATTCCATATTAAATTAGTATGTGTTCTTACAGAAAATAAGTAAACAATCATGAATACAGTGTTGTCTTCTGTTACATTTGGTAAATACAACCCTTTAAGAATTATTTTCATTCAAAAGTACATGCAGGCCTATGTTAACAGAGTTTTGTTGACCCCTTTGTAGTTGTAGTAGAATGTGTGCAGCCATGCAAAACAGTATCAGGTTTACATCATGCTTGGTTAAGCATGGCCACACTTAAATATGACAGTTATATTTTATAGTCAGTGACAGTAACACATATCAACTCGTGTCTTTTGTACCTGTATAACTCTCTCTTTGTAATCAACTTTAAAAAACAACCAGTTTATTTTATCATACATTATACATGTACTGGTACAAGTTCAACACAATCATTCCCTTAAATATTTTGTACATTATTATAAAGAATATGCGTAGTACATGAAGGTACCATGCCCATGGAGGTAAATGCACTGAACTCATACTGAATTTTACTTGGATTAAAACCCCAATGACAAAAGCACCAGTGAATTATTCTAGAAGTATTGCAAAGTTTGTATTTTCCAAGTGTTTCACAACGATTCTGCTGGTATTTCTTGTCCAAGATGGATAGTACCAAGTAAATAGTTTCAGCTTTTGAAATACAGGTACACACTACCCCAATGACAAAAGCAACAGTGAATTACAGTATTCAAGAAGTACAGCAAAGTCTGTATTTTCCAAGTGTTTTCACAACGATTCTGCTGGTATCCATTGTTCAAAATGGATAGTACCAAGTAGATAGTTTCAGCTTCTGAAATACAAGTACACACTATACATGTATGTGGCTCCAGTTCGCTGTATTAGATCTTCTTGTGCAATTAAAGGACACTAAATAGACATGTACATGTAAATCACATAGTGCCTTTTCCTTACCGTATAAAATATTATACAATGTATTGTACCTACATGTTCATGAGTTTTTATACGCCCACATTGAAATGTGGTCGTATATTGTCGTCGCCCCCGTCCGTCCATCCGTCGGTCCGGGGTCCACAATTGCTGGTGGACGCTCTAGAGGCTAAAGTTAATATCCGATTGACTTTAAATTTATATACAGTGCTTAAGGCCATGAGACGAAGAAGCCTATTGATTTTCAGCAATTTCCGATAATTACTGCCAGAGTTATGGCCCTTGATCACTTCAAAAACTCTTGTGGACGCTCTAGAGGCCAAAGTTAATATCCGATTGACTTTAAATTTATACACAGTGTTTAAGGTCATGAGACGAAGAAGCCTATTGATTTTCAACGATTTCCGATAATTACTGCAGAGTTATGGCCCTTGATCACTTTAAAAAATCTTGTGGATGCTCTAGAGGCCAAACTAAATATCCGATTGACTTTAAATTTATACACAGTGTTTAAGGTCATGAGACGAAGAAGCCTATTGATTTTCAGCGATTTCCGATAATTACTGCAGAGTTATGGCCCTTGATCACTTCAAAAAATCTTGTGGACGCTCTAGAGGCCAAACTTAATATCCGATTGACTTTAAATTTATACACAGTGTTTAAGGTCATGAGACGAAGAATCCTATTGATTTTCAGCGATTTCTGATAATTACTGCCAGAGTTATGGCTCTTGATCACTTCAAAAAAATCTTGTGGACTCTCTAGAGGCCAAAGTTATTATATCCTATTGACTTTAAATTTATACACAGTGCTTAAGGTCATGAGACGAAGAATCCTATTGATTTTCAGCAATTTACGATAATTACTGCCAGAGTTATGGCCCTTGATCATTTTGAAAAATCTTGTGGACGCTCTAGAGTCTAAAGTTAATATCCGATTGACTTTAAATTTTATACACAGTGTTTAAGGTCATGAGACGAACAAGTCTATTCATTTTCAGTGATTTTCGATAATTACTGCCAGAGTTATGGTCCTTGATCACTTCAAAAAACTTTGTGGATGCCCTAAAGGCTAAAGTTAATATCTGATTGACTTTAAATTTATACACAGTGTTTGAGGTCACAAGGCGAATAATCCTATTGATTTTCAAAGATTTCTGATAATTACTGCCAAAGTTATGGCCCCTGATCACTTTGAAAAATCTTGTGGACGCTCTAGGGACCAAAGTTAATATCCGATTGACTTCAGATTGATACACAGAGTTTAAGATCTTAAGACGAACAAGTATATTGATTTTCAATGAATTTTTATGACTTGGAACAGCTAAATCCATGATACAGTATTAAAAGTTTTGTATACAAAACGTTAGCATGGGGAAGAACTTTATAAAAACCAAACAAATTCTAATGGTTTTCTGAGTTGTTGCTCTTAATCAGATTTTAGTGATTTGTTTCCAAGATGATCAAAATTGTTTGTTCCTCAGATTGCCAAGAATACATGTACATTGCATCTTACTTGTAATATACATGTACATGTAAGGAAAGCATAGCGTTTACACAGACTACATGTATAAGGTATATTGTCGGTGAAGTGTCAAAAGGGTGTATCTCGGGAAATTAGTCAAATACACTATTTTGCATTTTTAAAATCTCCCAATTAATATACACATTTCTGTCTAAGCTGTGTATCTCGACGCCAATTAGAACTGTTCTGGGTATCATGTGTCAAAATGTTGTATCTTGAATTGTGGAAATTTTGAAATGCAAAAGGTTCTATTTCTTATTCTTTAGAAATTCTAAGATACACCCTTTTGACACATCACCGACAATATCCTAATTGAAACCTTAAATTTCCACCAAAAAAATAATGAATTGTGCATGCCCTATGCTAGCTGAGAGCCAAGATATGCCAGCTTAGAAAAAAATTGGTTTATGTCCCCCACCTTTGCATTCCGGTTACAAAGGTTTCCCTATACATGTATGTAATCTCTATGCATGTATGTAATCTGAATAAGGCATGAAATGTTAAGTTTTATTAGTCTTGTACATAAAATTACTTTATTTTGTGTTTTAGATCAAAGAGATGCTGTTCAGAAGAAAACATTTACAAAATGGGTGAACAAACATTTAATAAAGGTAAGAAAATATTTCAAGTATTGTAAATTGGTAAGAATTACCTGGTTTTAGTTACATTTAATGTGTACATGTTTTGTAATGTTATCTAACGATGGATTATGGTCAACACTCGACATTATAGTAAGCCTATCACAACCAAGTACTGGTACATGTGCATGAGCACACTATAATTGTAATGTACAATAAGGCAAAAACATAACATTTAGAAATATATTTTATTTAAAGATGCATTATGTAAAAGCTTAATTTGTCTATTGCCGGTCTGTCTTTTGGCCTCAAATTAGACACTTATTCACATGACAAGACCATAATCGACTCTAGAACATCAGATGATGGTATTTTTCAGTGGATTGAACACATTTAATGATGAATTTAAATATGGATAATCGAGTCTCTGTTTATTTTCATAACAATGGTACTTGACAATCGGGACTATATTGTGAAAACTTCGAAGAGTGATAATTAGCCCAGAAATGAGTAAATTGGCTGGAATTTTCAAGATATTCATTCTTCATGATCTATTTTTGAACTATTATAGCAAGAACAGCCAACTCTTGATATAAATCTTTCAATGCATGTTTAAAGGAAAAACATTAAAACCAGTGCTGTACAACTATATGAAGCACTGGGACAATTGTTCAGAGAAATACAAACTTTTATTTTCCATGTGGTGGGATACATGTATATGACATATTTAAAGATGTTGAGACTATACATGAATAACTCACAATATCAATAACAATTTTACACATACTGATATTTTATCTGCACTGTAAGTTTATATGAAAATACAGTTTAGGCTTGTTAACGTTCAGATTCATCACATTTTTTTAATTCTTTTATAAGTTGTTTTAGCATATGAAGAGATATGTTTGTAGGATTGAACCACTGTATATGTTGATCTCATTCTTTACTGGTAATTCTTGGCAGATTGATTAACATCAGAACTTTGATCTGACAATGTCTTTAACCTAGTAAAATTTAACATAGATTTAGCTTTAGATGTAAATCTCAAAATGTTTGTCTTCAAGAATCTGTCTAATCTATTTTTGAACTGATCGTATGAAGTGACATTTAGTCTTGGACATGTTTTGCATAACGAGGTTGAATTAATACAGGTTACACCTGAGATCGTATGTAAAGGATAAATGGTAAAGTGGACCTCTGATATTTACTGAAATAGTGTGAAAACGGTGGGTAAATAACAATAAAAGGTATCTCGGATGACCTAAAAGTAAATGTAAAGCCCACCCCTAACTATATGTCATCAAATTTGATGTCTTCATCTGTATCAAGTCTTATCCTAAATCTTTCTCTTCACCGAAAATTAGAGGTAAACTAACAATATTGATTCTAGTGTTCTTAATATGATACATGTACATGTATGCTACTTAAAAAAATAAATATAATTTGTTAAAGGGAATGGAACCTTATTGACCCTCTTCCTAAAACTGACGACTTTGTTGACCTATATTAACCACTACTAAAATATGATGGGCAAAAATGCTAAAGGGAATGGAACCTTACTGACCCTCTTCCTGAAGCTGACAACTGCTGTTTGCCTCTATTAACTGCAACTAAAAAATGACAGAAACAGAAAGTCTAGTTCTGATACCACTTTCAAATTTCCATAGTAGAATTTTCCATTTTGATGTACTTGTACATGTACTTTTGTAAAATTTCTCTTATGATACACTTCCATTTACATGTACATGTACAATTAGGAATGTTTTCATGATTTCTGTATCATTCTTCCATTTCCAGATGTAATCATATTTTATTAATGTTACAGGCCAAGTTACTCTTCTTGCTAATCAATAAAACAACACATTTAGCTTCGCTTTAAAAATCATGATTTGATAGATTTCTCTTACCGCAACATAACCCGAAGAATGGAGAATTTGGAGACTTTAATCCTTGTGTTTTTGAGAACTAAAATCAATGTTTTAAATTGAGCACACTCTAAAATGTTATAAACTTGCAGGAAAACAATTTGATCTAGCATCCACATGTATACATGTAGTTTTAAAATAACCTTGAAGGGGCAAAATGATACATGTAATATTAATGAGTTTGTGGGTTAGTACATATAGACTTGACCATGTACATGTATAGTAAGATCTGTCTGTTAGTAAATAAACAATGATTATATACAGTTAATTTGTGTTTCTCTCTTCCTCACCTTAAAAAGTAAAGATAAATAGTAAGTAGGTAAATGATGAGCACATTGACCTCAATGTTGTATTTGATCTAGGTAAAGAATGAAAGGTGCGACTACAGTTTCAAATGACAACTTGTCATTCATTCCATGACTAAATATAGGCATAGTTCATTATTGACTATATTACATTAAGAAATCCCTTGCTCATTTAGCATTTGGTGACTTAAAACTGTGTCGACATCAATTCAAAATACATGTACAAAAAAATAAGAATGCTTGAATGGTTCAAAATTCAAATTCATAACACAGTACATTTATTTATGCATTTTATTTGTGGCATAAACTGATCCCTGATAATAAATTTGTAACACTGGTTTCTAATAGACTTATCGGTAATCTCTAAATTCTATTCACTTGAGATATCTCCAGGCCTTGAAATAAGTATTTTAGTGGCCATGTGTACCTGACAAAATACAAGCACTACTGAAGTAGCACCTTTATGACAAAACAAAATGTATAAATTTATAGATATGCTATAAATGAGAAAGTATTGCATAGAAAATACTTGAGATTGTCATCAATAAGTCTTGAAAAGTTAAGATGTACATGTACAGTAAATGTAGCTCTGGTCTTGGACAGTTTTTTGGGGTTTTTTTTCATACATATGTACAATGTACATAAACGACTCACGAGTAAGTACATTTTTAAAAGTTTCTTTTTCCTTGATATTTTGCTTATACTTAGCTGTCTCAGTGGATATATTTCAAGTTACATGTCTTTAATCAGAAATTTAACACGTCTTTGAATTTGAGATGTTCTATAATATAGAATAAATACATGTACTGTAGATAATAGAGACGTTAGCTAGAAGCAAGTTGATATTATATAAAATTTTGTTTTCTTTTGGTAATCAGATATGTTTGGGTCCCTAGTCAAAGGAGTAAAATAGGACAGCCATATATGGTTTTATAGTTCATCAAAATAAGAAGGGGTTGATTTATTTTTATTTTGACAAGAATAACTGGTTTTACAGCTTTGTAGATGTGGTGGATGTCTGACTTTACTTATTTCAGTTTTATGTCTTGGTAACCCTGTAAGTTAATTACAACTTACAGGTTTTTAAAATGCTTGGCATGCTTTTCTTATATGGTTAATGTGATATTGATACCAACCTACATATATAGATAAAACTCTGAAATTGTAGTATTTATCAGACACTTAACAATATGCTAATAATTCAATTTTAAAATGATATATGATTAATAAATTATCGGTAAGTTAAAGGGTTTAGAAATCCTTTTTAGAATCGTATTGAAAAGTACAAAGAATTATGTTATATTCAAATACTGCAAAAAAGTAAATCACTTTAAAATTCTGTAGAGTATTGAAGTTAAATGTTTCCTTGTGAATGTGTTGAAAGGATAAAGACAGAAGGTGTGTAGAATAATAAATGAATTTGTGTAGGCTAAATTTAGTTAAATCAACAAAGTGCAACAATGTATTTGACAATTCAACATATATAGGTACAGACAGTTTACCTGTAAAATGTAAATGTGCATCACAATATTTACCTATGTACATGTATTACATCAAAAACACAATACCAGTACATCAACTTTAACTGTATTGATTAAACTATCCTATCTTTTATCATGTGATATTGGAAATTGATTAAAAACATTACTGCCTTGGAGCCAATTTGTAGAAAATTTGTTTTGTAAGTTAGTGGCTGGTTGAAAATACTACCACAAGAACTTTCAAAATGAACAACAGGGGAATGATACGTATATATAAACCTTCTGTCTGACCCATGCTAAGAAAAATAAAATCAACCAAAGTAATCAATTATGGTTACTTAAAAATTACCCATATTACAGTTTGTTTAAAATCATCTCAACAATATTCATTTGAACAATGAAATTGATTTGACCAGAGGTGATTTGAAACATATGTGTAAGTTTTTAAAAAAACATAATTACATGTATGTAGTTTTTTGAACCAGGAACATGGTTCCATAATCTTCTTCTTCTTGTGGCAAAAGAAAGCCTAAAGGCTGATTTATACTCAGGTAAGCAAAGCCGCGAAGTGAAGCTTTACTTGCAAAGCTAAGCTATGCTTGAAAATTGATCAGGCAGGGCTTTAAAGCACACTAAGGTATGCAAAGACAGTTCTCCGCTTCGCTTAGCAGAGTATAAATCGGCTTGTTATTTGGACAATTGCACATCATTTTTTATGTGAAGTCACAATTCCAAGAAGGCGTTGACGATGTCATGGTGAGTTCCTGGTTCACATTGTACTCTTGTACTTGTTTCTTGAGATTTTTAAAAATATTTACTGACAGAAAATGATTTACAAGTGAACAAGATTACACAACATTATATTGTATTTAGAAGCAAGTAGCTACATGTACATGCACCCAACTTAACCCTCTAGTGTAATAAATGAGACTTGAATGACATATCACTAGTTATACATACTGTATGGTATTATGTCCCATGGTAATAGATAGAATATTCAATTGGAAATCAACTGTCAGTTGTCAATCCTACAATTTATGTGTGTATATTTTTAATTGACACACAGAAAAATTAATTCTTGGAAAGGACAATGTTCTTATACTTGTATGCAGTCGTAATTGAATATGTTAATTTATATGACATAGAGTTCGATAAGGCTAGGCTTTCGTGTTAAATGTATGGTACCTATTGCTTGAAAGTACTGACGGGGGAGCAATCATTTGCATATGTCTATTATTAAGAAAAACACTCTTTGTGTATTGTGTTAGAAATGTGAGATACCTGTACAATGTTATTATAAATCCTAGCAACAAGAAGAGGTT